GGACGTGCAGGTGAATGAGCCGGTGATGTTGTAGCTGATCGGGTTAGGTCCTGTGATGGTGTTGCTGGTGTAGATATATGGGCAGAGTTGGCATCGAGGTTTGTTGCATGGGTTGATTCCGGAGACTCTACTACAGTTAATAATTTACCATTCAATAGCACCTTCCATCTTAGGATCTCAAAGCACTTTACAAATAAATGAAGTAAGCCTCACAACCCTGTGTGAGACAGATGCTATCTCCCTTGTACAGATGGGGAAACTGAGATACAGGGAGGTCGAATGAAATGCCTATAGTCACTCAGGAAGTATGTGGCAAGGCCATAAATATAATTTAGGCTTTGTCTACAATGCACTTTCACTGTTAAAACTTTTCTCGCTCAAAGGTATGAAAAAAACACACCCCTAAATGACAAAAGTTTTAACCACAAAAAGCGCTGGTGTTGACAGCGCTTCGTCAGCAGGAGATATTCTCCCGTCGACGAAGCTACCGCCCCTCATTGGGGATGGTTTTATTTTGTCACCAGGAGAGCTCTCTACCTGCAACAAAAAGCAGGTACACTGTGCACCTTACAATGGCGCAGCTGCAGCAGTACAGTCGCACCGTTATAAGGTGAGCAGTGTAGACATAGCCTTAGACTTCCTGACTCCCGCTCCTGTGCCTTAATCATAAACTTATTCTACCTTTAGTTTGGAAAATGGAATAGTGTAAATATCCCCAAACATTACCATTTTTCTTCATTTCTTTTTAATTTGTGTTTAAGCCGAGCTTATATAGTATTATGTCCTGCTGCATACACTCGCAAAATGAAATTCAATGAAACTGAAATACCTTGTAAACTTTTTGAACTGCTAGTACCATACAGCAAGTGGAAGTGTGACACAGCACATAATATGCACTGTCTTTGCTGCTGTAAAAATTTCACTGAACACAGCTCCCTTCATTTCTTATATCAATCAGGTAACAAGAGAGTCAAACATTTCACACTTAGGCTCTAATGAAAATGTTGCTGTTACTTGCTTGATAGAGACCAATCATTCAATGAATGATCAAGCTGTTGCATGAGTTCTGAATGACTACACCATGTCATTTGATAATGTGGTATCTTCTGACCCAGACAGAGCTGCCTACAGTATATAATTAAAGGTTTCAGATACACTACATTTGCTCCTGCCAAATGCTGTTCACACAATATGCTTTGTGCATGCAATGAAAGCAATAGCAAAACATTCTATTTCAGCCTGTGAACCACTTGATAAACTGTTTTAATGAAACCACTGTTTAGCACCAAGATCAGATGTCCAGAATCCTTCTAGAGGATCAAAATATCACTAAACCAGCTGTTTCTCTGCAGTACCTAATTCTTAATTAGCAAGAGATGTATTTTTGTTCCTGGCCCTTTGTTTCTTTATTATTAATAATCATTTCAATTATTGTATTTCCCCAATCAGGATCAGGGCCTCACTGCATTAGACGCTGCACAATCAGAAGAGACAGATCCTGCCCCAGACAGCTTACAATCTAAAAGATGAATATACTTCAATGTGAATTTTAGAGCTTGTGAGAGGCACAGAGCTTGTGAAAAGATGGAAGGTGCTGAGAGTGAAATCTTCTATTTATCTACAAAACAGTCAATAGCGCAAGTGCAAGCTTCCAGGCCAGTGTGGGTCAGTGCTTCAACCCTGATCTGGAGGTTCCAACTTTAAATGCAAGATTAAAGCTCATTCTGCATATGGCCCATTAAATCCTCACTCTCTCCACCGAGGCTGTCAACAAGTATGCAATTGTTGTATGCAGTGTTGTTGTAGTCGTGTCCATCCCAGGATATTAGAGACAGAAGGTGGGTGAGATAATATCTTTCATCGGACCAACTTCTGTTGATGAAAACTTATTTCTCTCAATAAACAGAAGTTGGTCCAATAAATAATATTACCTCACCCACCTTGTCTCTCTAATAAGCATGCCAATTGAGGCGGTGTTTTTTGGAGCAGGATGTGGATACCTGCTCAATTGAAAATGAACTGATGCCAACACCCTAATTCATTTAAGCCGTCAAAGAGCCATCAGATACGAACTAATTCATTCACTATCAACCATTGCCTTTTATTTCTAAATTTGTCAATTGAACAATACTTGATTCTTCTTCCTCTGTCTAGTTAACTTTATTCAATGCTTTCAAAATTAAGTGGAAAAAAAAGTGTATTGTTTTGTGTTTTAAAGTGAATCATTCCCCTGCAATCTTACA